CTTCCTAGAAGGGACTGAAGCACCTTCCCATCACTGGATGCTCTGAATAGCTCATGGGAGAATAATCCATAATTTTAATTGCTTATGCATTTCTTCTATATATACATTTTCTGCCTATATTCTCGAGGTTTAAAACAGTTCAAAACAAATAGTGTGTTAAAAATCATAAGTGTGAGAACCAATTTAATTAGATCAAGCAATATACTGTTTTGCTTTACAGCAGCCATCATAAACAATTACCTGCTCAAAATCCAACTTCATGATGGCCTTCTGTAGATATCTCACTCCACCATGGATCAATTTAGTACTTCTGCTGCTAGTCCCTGATCCGAAATCATCCCGTTCTACAAGAGCTGTGCTGAGGCCTGCATAACCAGAAGACCAAATTAACTTCTTAAATTATACAAGACCCTTCTCTAGGGTACAGACAATCATAGAAAAATAACTGCTCTGAATATTGTATTCAAAGTATATAATGTCATCTTTTTGGCAGTGAAGTGTGGCATTCTTTTCAGGGAAATATTTTGATTTAAGTCATAAATACTGGAGACATGAAAATGATTGAAGAAGGAAATTGAGAGTACATAAAACCTTTCCCCTTCTCATTAATATACAAGGACAATTAAAAAATTTAGATAAGTGATTCTAATGAAATTAAGCTAATGCAGGTCAGAAGAAAAATTCAGGCCTAGACATAGTTATCACATTATTTTCCAATCCTTGATACTGGTACACATGAGAACAACAAATTAAACAAAGTAATTAATCATAATCAAACGATTAGTATTATTAATAGTCTTTTAAATTTGCATATGTTTTTTTAACAAAACAACAATATATGAATCTATATATAATCTATATATCTGTAGAAAAAATTAAAAAATCAATATTGAGTTATATCTTTAATTAGAGTCACTCAATTCAGAGGAGAGTGCAAGCTTTCAAGTTCTTCAGAACTTTTCACCAGGTAGAAAATTATAAAAGTAGAACAGGAGATGGATAGAAGATTAATGGGCTTTGGGGAGGTTGCAACTAATTCATATTTTGTCCTAAATGAAAACTGTAATGTAATACTGATAACATCTCTTCTCTAACTAATGTGTTCAAGTATACAATCACTACCTTGAGACTGACTTTGAACTCCATACCTCATTATTAATTTTCAGACTTTTTTCCCCTGCCCTTTCTATTGTTTTGTAAATATAATCACATGGAAAGTAAATGCAGTTAAAATAAACACCTACAGAACACCTGAAATGAAATTTCTTTTAGGAGGAGGAGGAGGAGGGGAAATCACATCTAATACAATCTAACTATGTTCGACTGCTGTTTTATGGAGCTGCAGTGGCGCAGTGGTTAGAATGCAGTACTGCAGGCTACTTCTGCTGACTGCTGGCTGCCAGCAGTTCGGCAGTTTGGGTTTCAACAGGCTCAAGGTTGACTCAGCCTTCCATCCTTCCAAGGTCAGCAAAATGAGTAGCCGGATTGTTGGGAGCAATATGCTGACCCTGTAAAGAGAGGGCTGTAAAACACTGTGAAGCAGTATATAAGTCTAAGTGCTATTGCTAAGTGCTATTTTCAAAACTGAATAAAGTAACAATGCTAATGTCACAACCACTGTCAATGTACTTTCCATGTGGCAATCACTCATACAAAGCCACTTAAGGAAGAAAACAGGAAGAATGAAAGCAAGTACTGCAAGATTTTAACAGAGGGTGGAAAAGGAGTAACATGATTCTGCAGATACAAGGAGGAAGTGTAAACTATCAGTCCTCTGCCACTCTCCTTTAGCTTTCATTACCTTAAAGATTCCACTATACTTTATTACAGTACAAACAGCCTCATTAGCCTCTCTTGGTTGCCCTAAACTTTCATGTCCTTAAAAAAAAAAAACTAATTATTCCCGGTAACTTTGGAAGATCAGAGCAATTTATTTTTGTCAAACGTGACTGAAGATTAATGGATACAATCAGGAATAATTTGGCACGAACGTATCAGAGACAAAGAAAACAGAATTTGCTAAGTGAAGCATCAAACTTAATATGAGAGCAAATCCCATGAATGAAGAGCAACAATATACAATTCATTAATGCCTATGATTATTTCACATTTCAGAAAACTACTGATACAAATCAACAAATGTACTACAAAAACGATAAATAGAGACTGGCTTCAACTTTGGTTTTCCTATATATATCTCCATCATCCGCTACATCCAATCCTACCATAAACACTGAAAATATTTATTTGATTATGAAACCAAAATCATATCCCTGCAATAAATACACGGTGAAAGAACAAATACCAAGGAAGCTGCCAAAGAAGATAACCTACATATACTACAGGTACTTCCTCTCTTTCTAAATCTAGCAAAATTTGGCCAGAAATAATGCAACTGAAGTTATGCAAAACAAAATAAGATGTTTGAGTCACTTATTTTGAGATACATACGCTCCAAAATGTCATACTGGTGGCTAATGCAGATAATCCTTCAGCAGAATTGGGGATTTGAAAAACTTGAAACAAAATAAAAATAAAAACTTAAATAGGAGTTAAGGAAGAAAGAAAACATAACTGAAGCTAGGCCCATTAAATTTATTAACAAAAAACCTGTGTATGTAAAAATAGAATGGATTATAAAACTTGAAATTAAAAATATAAAGGTTAGTACTTTTCCCTCCAAATCATGTCAACATTTTTTATATGGCCCAAACCACACATGTGATTACTAGCTAATTAAAAGTCATTATAATCCAGAGTTGCCATATAAAGAAAAATAGACTAAAATGTACTGGTACAAATAAAAAATGGTTCAGAATTTTTTTCTTACTTTTTTTTTACAATAACAGTTTTTAAAAAGGTTTGCACATCACATAAAACTATATTTTGTACAACTATGGTTTACTGAATGTAAGTCGACTGATTTTTCCACAATATACTGAGCAAATTCAATGGCAATACATCTTAGGTAAGTGAAACATGTGATTCCAATGATTTTTAAAAGGTAAATTGTCCATCATATTCGATAGTCAAAATAAATCTCTGGACCTGGGGTTCTATATATGCCAATGGTGGCTAACCTATTTCGGCTCCCGTGCCAATAATTGCACGCATGCTCCTGAGCTCACGCTCGTGAGCCAGCACACAGAAGGCAATGCATGCTGGGGCCCCCAACACCCCCTGCGCATGTGCGCGCAATCCCTCCACTGCGCATTGCACCTCTGCGCATGCATGCATATCGCCCCGCCATGTGCCATTTCTACGCATGCACATGCAACCCCCCTGCCACACATCTGCGCCTGCGATTCCCTCGCTGCGCACTACGTGCCTGTGCGCTGCATGGCCGTGCCTGCGCGCTGCGTGTCTCTGCGCCTGTGTGATTCCCCGCCATGAGCCATGCACCTCTGCGCATGCGCGCGATCCCCCCGCACTCCATCCATCTCTACATGTGTGCACGATTCCATGTCGCGCATCTCTGCACATGCGTGCGTGACCCCCTCGTGCATGCTGCGTGTCTCTGCACATGCGTGTATGTCTCCCGTGCCCCCGCCGCCCCCGCGCATGTGCGCCAGATACCCAACAATCAGCGCACGCCCATGTACAGTGGGGCTCTTCCGGGCGAGCTCTTGCGTGCTGGCAGAGATGGCTCAGCGAGTCACTTCCGGCACGGGTGCCATAGGTTCGCCAACACGGATATATGCCATTCATAACATCTGCACTAGCTGACAGATCTTGAGGTTTTTGTAAAGAAGTAGATCCCATATTCTAAAGACAATACCCGATTTAATTTTTCTCATTCAAAAATGACTTTCCTCTTCTTTCTCATTTGCTCTTCCAACCCTGCCTAGTTATCCTTACCAATATATTTCAATATAGGAAATTTATTTGTTTATTATGTCAGCATTACCATTACACATACAACTGGTTCTCAACTTACAACAGTTCATTTAGTGACCATTCAAAGTTACAATGGCACTGAAAAAAAGTCTTATGACCATTTTTCATACTTATGACCGTTGTAGCATCCCCACGGTCATGTGATTTACATTCGGACGCTTGGTTGATTCACATTTATGACGGTTGCAGTGTCCGGGAGTCATGTGATCCCCTTTTGTGACCTTCTGACAAGCAAAGTCAATGGGGAAGCCAGATTCACTTAACAATCGTGTTAGTAATTTAAGAACTGCACTGATTCACTTAACAAAGAAAAACTGTAAAATGGGACAAAACTCACTTAACAAATTTCTCACTTAGCAACATAAATTTTGGCCTCAAATATGGTCATAAGTTGAGGACTACCTGTACTGCAAGTTTTGACTAGTTAAGAATTATGGGAATTTTAAGAAGACAATTCACAACTAGGAAGGCAGAAGTTCTTTAGGACTTAAAAGCAAAGTGACTGTGCTGTCCAGCCAGTCTATGGGAATTGGATAGTTACTTAGGAATTATGAGCTGTCCCCTTAAGGGAATGCATCATGGTAAACGTAGTTAAAGGTATCCTGGGAAATGTAGTTCATGTCACGTGACCACATCTGTAATCCTGATTGGTCACTGAATTGACCCTCGATGGGTTGGGGGAGTTTTCCTCACTTTTGCCTGAACTCCCTAAGTCATGGGAGCTGCTTTCTATCGCTACGAGATGGGTCAGGAGATAACCATCTTTTACTACAAGGCAAATATACGAAGGATTGGTCATTAAAGAAGAACTTCGTCACAAATGTGAGTTATGAGGATACCTGATGAACCAATAAATGTACTTCGTTATGGACGTCTTGTTGAGTAATCTATCTGCATCTGTACAGTTTATAAATCCATCTCTGTACAGGATACAGAAAAGTGGCTTAGCAAAGAATAGCCCTAAAATAGGTCATAAAATGAAGCACAAGCTGCCCACACAGCTAAGATGAGATAGATATATTGGACAATGACATTAAAAATTAAAGGAATAGTAGAAAGCCCAGCAAGTCAAAGAGATAATCTCAAATGCTCAAATTATATTCATTTCATCTTTTAAACAAAAGGCACTTTGTTGAATTCTCCATGCTTAGAAACTATGCTTCTGGAATATCAAAAGGCATGAGCCTCTTAAGTTTTCAGAACTGAGAACTGTGATGTTAGCAACTTATCTGTATCATGATCCAAGACATCATTTTAAAATGCCTCAGGCCTATCACAGGCATCACATGGATTGAATGACAAAGGAGACGGGGGGGGGGGGGGGGGGGGGGGGGAGAGAGAAGACTCTTATGGCCTTATGTAATAAAAGAACTGCAGCAATTAAATCCCAACTCTGTTAATCTTTTTTTAAACACTGTATTACAAATAAAAAGCCCCTAAACCTGTAAATATAATTTAAAAGATTCAGTAAATAACACAAACCAACTACAATAAATGTGAAAAAATACAATAAAAATAAAAGTAGAAAAAAAGCGAAAGAAAAAGCAACGATTTTAGATAGAATGAATCTACTTTTAATGTAAAAACATATTCCTAACTCTGGGGCATATGAATGCCTAGACACAACAAAAGTGACCTCTATAGTTGATGGGAATCACTTACCTCTTGTAACAGCGTCTAAGGCACAACCACTTCCTGTGGCACCGCCCCCTATGATAAGAACATCAAATTCTGAAGTTTCTCTCAAAGCCTGGAAATGATTCTCTCTAGTCGGAAGGGAGTTTAGTATTGGTACAAGTTTGCATTCTGAAGCTTCCACAGTTGCATGATGACCCTGAAAAAATAAATTGTCAAGAAGGGAGGGAGGGAGGAAATTGGGCATAATTTAATACTGATTTATAAAGAGCAGCACTATTTTCCCAAAATCCTTGCTTACTAATCATTAATAACAACACAAAAGATTCATGTCAGAATAGTATTAAAATAAAATAATCCCCAAATATTATTACAATATTAAGTACTATTATCATCATCATTATTGAGTATCCCAGCATGCCCATTATTTTTCCTAAAACCACACAAAAGACTTTTTAATGAAAGTGCCTTTAAATACAAATCAATAGAAGTCATAACTCTAGTTATTAACTGAAAAATCACTATGACTAATACCATCACTATAGTATGATATGATGTTTATAGAATTGTTTTGTCATCAAACATAAATCTATATTAAAAAACAATACCGTGAGCACTCCATAAAAACACACAATTTTTACAACCATGAGCCCCATTTATTTCACTAATCTGGCAGATAACAAACTAAAAAAGCTATGTGTGCTATTTCTATATTTTTAAGTGAAGGGCATAGCCTTAAAGTAATGGTGATTGTGTTTCTTTCTACTTTTCCCCCCTTTGATAGGGAAGGACCCTGAACTCCAAAGAGTTATTTAGTCTAGAAACCCTAGAGCAGTGGTTCCCAAACTTTTTCAGTCCACCGCCCCCTTGGTGCTACAAACTCATCCTCAATGCGTCCCACCCAGGGGCGGGATTCAAATTTCTGTGGGCGTGGCCTAATTTGAGGGTGTGGTTTGCTGGTAACCTGATTGGGTAGGCGTGGCTTGCTGGTCACATGACTGGGTGGGCATGGCTTGCTGGTCATGTGACTGGTGGCGTGGCTTGCTGGTCATGTGACTGGGTGAGAGTGGTTTGGTGACTGGCAAACCAAATACAAGTGGTCTTCACTTAATGGCCAGTTTCTTAGCAAGTATTCTAATTCATGACTGGCCTCCCCAGAACTACTTGACCTGTTTTTGGAGTTTTGACAGCCATGTACACACATATACACATACTCCCTCCCTTCCAACCCTGCTGGAGCAGGTCATTGGACTAGAATCAGCAAAGCATCTCTGATTAAATTCTAGTAGTGAATAAAATCTAATCAGAGATGCTTTGCCGATTCTTGTTGATTTGTTTTATTTGTATTTCTTTATTTTATGTTGCTGAATTGCATTGACAAGTGTGTCCCTTCTTGTGCACAACCCAGAAGCTTTTGTGATTCTTTGCAGCAAACATTAGCAACCTCTGGCTTTGCTCTACTTTTCAAACGTGCCGGCACTGCCGCGTTCTAGGTGCCGGCCCCACAGGCCCACCCCACTGAGCCCACTGCACTGGAGGAATCTGCCCAAGCAAGTCCAAGCGGAGCGGTACACCAAATCAATGGGGTGAGCCTGGGAGAGGGAAAGAGAGAGAGAGAAAAGAGAGAAAGAGAGAAGGAAAAAAAGAAAGAGAAAATGGAAAGAAAGAAAAAGGGACAAAGAAAGGGGGGCATGGAGGGGAGGGAGGGAGGGAGAGGGAGAGAGAGAGAGAGAGCGCTGATGCATCAGATTGTAATGAGGCCTAGTTTAGAGGCCCTTTTCCACATTGAAACATTTTTGCCAGCATCTTTGCCAGCACATTGAAACATCTTTGGCTTCTATTAATTAAAGGTTTTGTGGACGAAACATGCCCAAGACTATCAGGAAGCTCTCACATTTAGTTGAGGCTTTAAACAGGATCCATTGGACCAGATCTTCATCCTAAAAAATTACTTTTCCCCAATGTATTACAGTGCCAATTCTGAAGAAGGCAAAACCAAAATGTACTGGTAAATTACAAGAACACACACATACACACTCCCTTCTAACCCTGCTGGAGCAAGTGATTGGACTAGAATAGAAGCTTATATTACACTTATCCCAAAAGAAGGGGTTGACCCATTACAAATTAAGAACTATAGACCTATTTCCTTATTGAATGCAGATTACAAAATCTTTGCTTCAATCTTGGCAGAGAGGCTTAAAAAATATTTAAATAAATTTATTCACCCTGATCAGAATGGATTTCTACCAAAGAGACAAATTAAAGACAATATGAGGATAATCCTGGATACATTGGAATATTACGAGGCGCATCCTGAAAAACAAATGGCTTTGATATTCTTAGATGCCCAAAAGGCATTTGATAACGTGAATTGGAGATTTATGCTATTATTATTGGAACAGATGGGCTTTGCTAGAAAATTTATTCAAGCAATAGAAGCCATATATTATGAGCAAACGGCAAAAGTAATGATAGATGGAGAATTTACAGACTCTATTAATATTAAAAAAGGTACAAGACAAGGATGTCCATTATCTCCTTTGTTATTTGTATTGACTTTGGAAGTGTTAAATAGAAATATTAGAGAGGATACAAATATAAAAGGAATGAAAGTTAAAAAGGAGGAATTCAAATTGCAAGCCTTTGCAGACGACTTGGTCTTTATTTTGGAAGATCCTCTTGAGACAGCTTTAAAACTATTTGAAAAGATAGAGATGTATGGTGAGATGGCTGGCTTGAAAATAAATAAAGACAAAACAAAGATTTTGACAAAGAACATGTTATTAAGACAAAGAGAAGAGCTGACAGACCTATTGAAAATTCAAGTTACGAACAAAGTTAAATATTTGGGGATATATTTGACGTCAAGATGTACTACACTGAAAGAGAATAACTATATTAAACTTAAGCAGCAGATAGCATCTGATCTGAAAAAATGGGAAAACTTACAATTGTCACTGATAGGTAGAATTTCAACAATTAAGATGAATATTTTACCTAGAATGTTATATTTGTTTCAAACAATACCAATTAGGTTAGGTAAAGACTATTTTGAAGAATTAAATAAAATTGTGTTGAAGTATATATGGCAAGGTAAGAAAGCGAGAATAAAATTAAAACTTTTACAGGATGCTAGAATTAGAGGAGGATTTGGCCTTCCTAATTGGGAGTTGTATTATCAAGCTGCAAATTTAATGTGGGCTAAAGAATGGATAACGTTAAGAAAGACTAGATTGTTGGCATTAGAAGGACATGATTTACTATTGGGTTGGCATGCTTTTCTATGGTATAAGGGAACTAAATCACAGGGTTATTTTAGAAGGCATTATATACGGGAATCGTTATGGTTGAATTGGGAGAAAATTAAGAAACAATGTTATTTGAAAATTCCAGTTTGGTTATCAACTATTGAAGCCTTTTCTTATCCTATCCTATAATTTATAAGAAGGAACAAACAGTTAGATATGGGGAATTACTAGATGAAAAGGGTGAACTTAAAACGATACAAAATTTAGAAGAACAAGGTATAAAGATGAATTGGTTTTCATATGCGCAAATACATTCAAGGTATCTTAAAGATTCCAAAATGGAAGGATTTTATGACAAAATGACTGATTTAGATAGGATTTTGACAGGTACTGATGAAAAAGTGATTAAAAATTATATAATTATTTGTTGGAAATTAAATTGGAGGATGAACAAGTTAAAGAAACGATGATTGCTTGGGGGAAGAATTTTGGATATGGGATTGACTTAGAGAAATGGCAAAAGTTGTGGTCTCAAAATTATAAAATGACAATGTCAACAGCTTATAAAGAAAATTTGTATAAGATGTTTTACAGGTGGCATTTTCCCCCGACAAGAATAGCAAGAATGTTCAAGAACAAATCTGAAAAGTGCTGGAAATGTCATCGGATTCCTGGTTCATATTACCATATGTGGTGGACTTGTGAGGAGGCCAGGAAATACTGGACTAGAATTCGCATATGGTTGGAAAAAATGACAAAGAAACATATAGATTTGAAGCCAGAGATTTTTTTATTGGGAATCTTACCTGATACATATAATAAAAACTTAAAGTATTTGATTGTAAATGTATTAACAGCGGCTAGGATTGTATTTGCTAAAAATTGGAAGAGTGAGAAAATACCATTAGAGGAAGAAATTATTAAGAAAATATTGGAATGTGCTGAAATGAGTAGATTGACATTTGAAATTAGAGAACAAGAAGATAAACAATTTTATGAAGTTTGGGATCTTTTTTATCAATGGTTAGATAATACAATATAATAATAGAATAGTTAGAAATTTAGGAAATAACGAATATACATTTTTTCTTGGTCTTGATAACACTTTTAGAATATTTTATTAAGATAGACTTGGTATGATTTTATGATTTGTTATAAAATAAAGTAACTAAATTACAGTTATCTCGCTTAAGTATGAATTAGTAAAATTATAGTCAAATGATTGTTTAATAATGATATTAGGATATATAATTGTTGATCGATAATATGAGTTATTATGTAACATAATTATTATGATGACTATGAAATGGATGCACAAAAAGGAGTGGTAAACCAACCGATACACTGTCTGTAAATATATGAAGAATGATGATGTTTTTTATGTTATGTTTTATGTTTTTTGTGTTTTTGTTTGTTGTTAAAATCAATAAAAAAAAATTATTAAAGAAAAAGATATTATCTTTCTCCTCCCTCCCTCCCTCCCTCCCTCCTTCTTTATTTCTTTTTCTTTCTGTCCCTTCCTTCCATCCCCCCTTTCTTTGTCCCCTTTTCTTTCTTTCCTTTTCTTTCTCTTGTTCCTTCTCTCTTTTTCTCTCTCTCTCTTTCCTCTTTCCCTCTCTCAGGCTCACCCCATTGACTTCGTGCACTGCTCCATTCGGACTTGCTTGGGCAGGTGCCTCCGGTGCAAGGGGCTCAATAGGGTGAACACGGCGGCGGCGGGATGTTTGAAAAGGAGAGCAAAGCCACTGTGGTTTTGCTCTCCTTTCCCAATGCTGCATTTGGGGCAACGCCCCGCCACCCAACACTGTGTTCGGGGTGGAGCTCCTTCCACCAGAGCATGCAAGTCAATGGGATGATCCTGCGGGGCCTTGCCTCGAACGCAGCGGCGAGATTATTTCTCACCCCTGAATTGTGCCCTGCCGCTCCCCTCCAGCTGCCTCTTAGCGCT